CTAAGCACCACAGGCGATCAGCACACTGATGATTTCCAGTTTCTGCTAGAAAAATGAACAGCTGAATGTAAATCCATAGTATAAATACTAGCTTTATGGGAGAATAACTGCAGGTTCATTCTTCTGAATGAACCTCTTACAACCCAGATAATGAAGGACATCTGCCAATTATTTTGTCATTATGTTAAAAATAGTAGTCATAACGGTTTTTTGAGAAATCAAACCATCTGCCCAAATTATAAAATAAATGCCAAAGAGACTAACCAGTAAAGAGAATGCAGTAAATTATGTTCTAAGAAAACTATTTCAGAGGGACTGTTGGCATGACTCCAGACTACAGCTTTTACACTTTCAGAGGACATTTGGAAAGACCTAATAAAAACACAATATAATAAACCAATTCTAAGCCATCAGGTGGGTTATTAGGTGTTTAAAATTCCCATTGTAAATTGGATTACTGTCATATCATGGCTTATATAGTCTTAAAAATAGATCCTAAGTATTCTAGGTCACACCAGAAAAATGTAAAAAGTAAAAGCAAGGGATTTTAGGTTCAGGAACACCAACTTCAGTTTCAAAGTGAAACAGAATTCTAACCCTATGACTGCCTTTATTCGTCATCATAAATAAGTATGATAAAAAGCTTGACATGGTTTGTAGTGTAAGCACTGAGCAACCCACGTGTGATACCCATCTTTAGCTGAATCTCTCCAGCTTTCAGCATATCAGGTATAAATGGAAAACCTCTGTGCAAGTTATCATGAGGCTGTGTCTGGATCTAGGGAAATGGCTGGATGAATTCTCAGACGTGTATGGATCGGCTGTAGAGAGATTTTCAAAACACCTTAAAGGCATTACAAAATAGATAGAGTCCTTTTGGTACAATCTCCAAAAAAAACAAACCCACCCCATGTTAAAAATCGATGCTTAAAATGTATGGATCTTTTTAAAAGCTTCCAAAGCCAATTTGGTATATCATGGTCCTATGCATCCAGCTGAAGGGAATGTACTGGTGCCTCCATACACTGGCTATAATGGCAGATGTTAACTTTTGTGTTTCCAAGGAAATGCAAGGATTAATACAGGGAACTTGCAATATTCTTCACAGGGCATCATTTTAAAGAAAACAAAAACCTGCAAAGACTGCTGAATTTCAGGCCCAGGTTGGGTTTTTCCAAGCTCCATGTCCCAGGGGCCAGAAGTCTTAGGACAGACGAGTGCAGCTGTGTCCTGGCCTCTCCGTGTGTGGTACAACAAAGCTTGAAGCCAAAAAAGGTCACACATGGCTACATCCAGGTGCCAACTTTATGCATTGTTTTCACACCAGAACTCGTCAGACACTGGCTGCTTGCGTCGGGCAGGAGCGGGAGGATGTCCTGTGTCATTTTGCTGATGCAGTTTGAGGGACTGCAGCCAAAAAAAGAAAACAAACCCAAGTGTAACACGAAGAACTTGACACTAAAAGGAGAAAGGCTCCAGAAGAGCTATATTCTTCCCCGCTATTTTGGGGTGACCGCACACCAAACCTCGCCACTGCTCGGTTGCAGAGGGACAGCTCTGTGCATCTGCGGCGTTGGGGGTGACAAGGACCCTCGGGAGGCGCATCCCTTCTCGCTTGTTGGAGGTGAGGGGGGTCCTGGGCAGGTCCCCTCTCCCGGTTGCAGACTCAAACTGGGGGGGGGGGGAGGGGTAGGGGGGGCAAGAGCACATCCTGTGCCTCTCCCGACTCGCTATCTCGAGGAGCGCCGCCTCATGCCAGCGCTTGGGGTCCCCTCCTGCCGCCCGCCCGCCCGCTCCCTGTCCCCCCGCCCCGCTCCCTGCCGGGACGGGCGCGCCGGTGGGGGGGCGGTGCAGCGCGGTGCGGTGCGGCCGCAGGGCGGGCACGGCAGCCGCCCCCTCCCGGCACGGCCACGGCTCCCGAGGCGGCGCGGGCCGACGGCAGAGACGCGCCGGCCGCCGGAGCGGCACCCCCGGCGCTAGGTGAGAGCGGCGGCGGCGGCGGCAGGCGGGGGTTGGGCGGAGGTAAGCGGCGCAGGGCAGAGTGCGCTCCCGCCCGGGCCGTGACTACCGGGGCTGGCTCGGTCTCCCGGGCCGGGTGCCGGCAGCGGTGCCGGAAAGTGCGTGCGCGGCGAGGTGGAGCATCCCGATAAGGTGTGCGTGTTCCCCCCGAGCAGCGACCCCGACCCCTGCAGCAGCCCTTTGCCTGTGGAAGGGAACGAGGAGAGCTAAGGCAGGAACGTGTAGCCTGCGGTGCGCTGGGAAAGAAGGGATGAGCCGCTGCTAAGGCTGTTCCTGGGACGCGAGGTCTGGTGTCCGACCGCTTCTCGAGTGTCCTGCGTGACCGTGGGTAAGTGACGGGATAAGCTGTTCGTGCCACCTGCCCTACCTAGGTGCTTCCGCGGCGTTGGACCGGGCAGGCTTAATGTTCATTAACGTTAGATATTAACCTTTAGGGAGTGCTCAGGGAAACTGATAACCGGTGTCATAAATAGGCTGCCCCTCTTCAGGAAGAGAACTAAGCAGACTTTTTTCTCTGGCAGAGAAGCAATCAGAAGTGCTTCAGGTGCAATTTTTATCTACATCTCCTTTCTGCAGTTACACCTCTGTGGTCAAATTAATCAGTGGCAAGAACGCGAAGGCTAGGGAAGAAAAATAATCAGCTTCATTTACATAATGACACTGCTAGTTGCATGAAAATACACTTCTGAAGAATAACCATTGTGCATGAACTCTAATTAAAGTTGCACGGTCAACATAATGAAGAACTAACGTGCAGTTTGCTGATGCAAAAGATGGTCCTAGAAAATCACTTTCTAACATCATTGACTTTCATCTTCCCGTGATTGCAAGGAGTGCCCTTGTACTTTGATCACTCGCAAGGCAGGGATTTTCTTTCTGATTGCAGCAAAATGTTGGCAGTAAGAGAATTGTTTCTTAATTCCATTATGAATTATGCCCCTCTGCATTTGTTCAAAGTTATTTCTGGACTCTGGGGAGCAGGCAAGTGCTTTTAGCAAAGGAAGAAGAGTGTTCAGAATATTCCTGGAGCAATAGATAAAATGATGTACAGCGCGCTGTTTGTCTGGCTGGTACAGATATACCCAGTTCCTGAAGGTCTGAATTTTGAAAAGCAATGAGATTTTGGTGATTCCAAGAAAATCCTAGCCACCTTTGGGGGCACTGTGGTTAGGATTGATGAATGCAGAAGTGCATAGGATATGTTGCCTTGCATTGTATACCTTCATCACCTTTTGTAGTTAGAAAAAGCAGTTTGGCTGAAGTATTTGGTCAGAACAGAGACCTCCAAAGCAGCTGAAGGGAAAGCCATGACACTTTGTTTACCTTTCCTCATTGAAGAAGTCATGGGGATGAGAATGTTGTGGGGTGGGATCTTTTCTTCAATTGTTAATATTCCCTTTGGAAATATGAACTTGAATGTTTGTGCCAGGATGTTTATGAGATGTGACATTGTGCTTGGTAAAAAATACTTATATGGAGGTAAGATAAGGTGGAACTTCATTAGAAATACCCAAATAATTTCTAATAGCAGTGACTTTACCGTTAGAGTGAAGGTTTAGTTCTGTAGATTGGTTATGAAATACACTCTGCTGAAACACAGACCAGTCTACTTTGTTTTGTCTTACACCCATCATGTTCCCCAACCTCCTGCTTGGCTTTCTGCCGGGCTTCATTGATTTCTCTTTCTGATAAGTATGCTCCAGGACCTTGTTCATTTCTCAGGGCACAGCTCCCTCTTAATTGGCTTTGAGGGAAGAATGAGGGAAATTTCTGCACTGTGTCCATATCTTGATGGCCAAAAAGCTTCCATTCACTGCAACAGCTCCCTGCTGATGTGCTCCTCGTTCTTTCAAGCAGTTTTGTGAGCAGTGAGATGACACAAGATTTCTGATTGATGGCTTGATTTGTTCCACTCTGTGGCATCCAGACAGACCACTCAGACCCATGGGATCGCCACCAGCAGTGAAAGGGGAGAATTACAGAAGTAAATCCAAGTGATTGTGTCTGGTAGAAGTATTTGGACAGTCAAACATCTGTGTTGGAATGGATTAAGATTCTGGTAGTTACATTTTTACAAGGAGATCATCCAGATTTTCCTTGCAGCCTAAGATTATGGCTTAAGAGAAATCCTAGAAAGTCAGGGATGGTGATCTGTTCATGAACAGGTTCCACATCTGCCTTTTCTCCCATGAAATAATGTCTTCTGTACTTGGCTTAATTCTGATTTTAAAAGTTTTTTCCATGTGACATTTCTGTTTGTTATTTCTTGTCTTCTCTCCTGACTATATTATTTTCAACCTGGTTTCTTAAGGAGATGAAGCTGAAATAGTAATGCTAACAATGATGCTGTCTGACTGATAGTTCCCCTCATTGCCCTGAAGTATTTTTACCTATGGGATCAATTTAAACTGATATAAATAGGAGAGTAGAGATTTCAAATTGACGGAAGTTCCTACAAGCCTAAAAACTGTGGTGACCAGGTTGATGGGAGAGATGAGGTTGATGTCCCCACTGAAGGAAGAGCTGTAGCAAGCATTCAGCTTATTAGACATCAGAAAATTCCTGTGGGTGCCCTGTAGGATGCTGAGTTTCATAGCTTCTGCTGCTCAAGGGTTGCTGATTTTCAATTTCTTTGCTCCTTGGGAGTGCAGAGTCTTGGAAGTTTTGATTGTGCCTTTTCCCTAGGAACTCCAAAATAAGCTCTGCTTGTCTGAGATGTTTCCAGTAATGAGATATATATAAACTGTGATGTTCCTCAACTTCAAAATCTGACTTGTTGCTTTCCTAGCTCATAATTTAATATTGCTGTATGCAGGATTGATAGCTAATAGTACAGTAATTGGTTTTCTTTACCTTGACTTGGTGCAAACACTCAGTTACTGTGGTCACAATAAAACCTACTTTCTTCCACAATCAATTTCTCTGAATTGCTTACAAGTTTTTGATGAGATTTTAATTTGCTTCCTACCACCACTGCTGTTTCTTCTGTTTATGGCTGCATCCAAATGCCCTTGTCTGCTTTCTCTGCCGAGCAGGATGCTGTAACACTCTCCCTGTGTCGTGACAGAATGATAATGGAGGAGAAATATGAAAAGGTATTGTGAGTTTATCTAGCAGGATCTTTACAAATACATGTTGCTTTTATTGACTTTTAAGTGGTGGTTATTGTTCTGATTACTTGTTCTGTTATATAGTTAAAGCTAAGAGCTATATTTGTGAGTAATTGCCCATTTTCGCCTTCCTCATCTTTCCAGCATTAATACCATCACAATACTTGTCTGTCTTTCATTACCTCCTTACAAAATTGTTGTGGGTTTGTGGGTTGGTTTGTTTTCTTTTTCCATTTTGTTGTGTTTTAGAAAGCTTTAATAGTTCAATAAGCTGACTTGCTAGGCTTTTCCTATTGTAGAAATTGTATCAGCTGGACTTGCTCTCTGGGCATGAGTGTACGTATATATAAATGAAACCAATTCAGTAAAGCGCTTAGCAGATGACGTTGATTTCTTTTAAAGTATTTGTCTGCATTCAAGTTGCACTAAGCTCTGCTCTACATCTTTTAGAAATCATTTATGTATTATTAAACCCTGCATTCCCCACTAAAGACAGAGCACCGCGCTTGTATAGTGATTACATTTGACTTTAGTATCCTGGTTTATATTAGCAAGAGGAGGAGCAAAGTGCACAAGAACATCTTTTTCTCTAGGAGCAGGCAAATGAGCTCCTGTGACATCTTGCCCTGCCTCGTCCCATGCACTGTGATGGAAGCCAACATCCTTCCTTCCCCACTGTAAGTACATGGCCCTTCCAGCAGCCCCACGTGGCTCTCCCCGCCCCCTGGAGAGCTGCCACCAGGCATGCCAGGCTGGGTGCCTTCCAGCTGGTTTTAAGAAGCAGCTCCCCCAGAGGTTTCTCACTCTCCACCCCTCACCAGCAGTTGCATCACTCCCAGAAACGTGGGATGTAGCAGCACGCGTAGGTGCTACCCAGTTTGTTTTGGTTAAGATGCATCCAAGGGACCTTAAAATTCTGCCAGTAGAAGTGTTCAACTTGTACCACTGTGACAGGTCAGGTAGGGTGTGCAAACCCATGCACTTACCTTGGCGGGTTGGGGAAGGGCAGTGACATCCTGTGGAGAGCAGAGCATTGCTCGGAGGCCAAGGGGGTGGTCTGTGATGAGAAAGCCAGCAGTGGGGCTGAGATCAGGAGCCCTTAACATGGTTCAACTGCAGCCAAGGCAGCATGCATGACTACAGCCTAAAAACACAGTGTCAGTGAAGAGAGTGATGATTCTACTAGCTGTGTCAGGTTTGCACTGCACATGGGAAGCTGTGTACCTTGAGCAGCCTTTGTGTGTAGAGCTGTGTCAGGTGCACCCAGGCTGAGGCGTTTGGACAGGAGCTGTTACTGTGCCTTGCCAGAGCACAGTGAGCACTGAATATACATGTCAGAAGCTTTTCTGCATGTGCTTGCTTTGATATGTAGCACACATCTTTCTGTGCTGACCCCAGAGGAGGGGGCAGTCTGTGCTAGGTTGTGCTGAAAGGAGGCAGTTCTTAATTAAACACCTTCTGTTTTCTGTGGTGTCCTAAGGAAGATCCCAGAGAAACAGTTGCAGATCAGGGAGCACTTCTTGCTTTTTTCTTTAATCCAGATTAAGCAGCATTGGCTGCATACATAATGATAGCAGTGCATTATTTTCCTCTTTGTTGAGTTTCCCCATCCTGTCCACGTATTCCGTCTGACAGAGGAAGGTGAAGTGGGTTTGCAGTACACAGTACTGGTCATGTTTGCAGATATAAACACCTGCTGATGCAGAACAGTGGAATAATTTATGATGCTTTCAAGCCTTGATGGACAAATGGGAAGCCTTTTATTTCAGTCATTTTCAATTACCTTTGAAACCAGTTTACCAAATTTTGTGCGAAACCCACAGGCTTGTCCATAGGCTTCTGAGTAGCCTGTAACCGTGTTAAGTAAAGCAGTGGCAGAGTTGTGGGAATGCCCCTGGAAGATGTGCTGCATTCAGCAACTCTTGGGTTGTTACAGCTTCCTCTTCTAGAATAAAAATCCCTCCTTTGGAATCAGCCTCGGATCAGATTGACATCCTGCAACTCAGTTTCTGTAAGGAAAAGCCAGCAGGTCAATAAAAACAAGTATTAAGGAGTACATAAGCCATTTTTACAAGACAAATCCAAATGCCTTCAGATCTCTGGGTTTGGTCTTTGGGATTATTATTCCTGATGGAGCAGGCTGACTTGTGTAAGGGTAATGTCACTAGGGTACTCTTCACAGCATTTTGAGTTGGTTGCGTATACAAAATGGTTAGCAATACCTGCGTGATAGGCCTTGAAAGAAAAGGAACCAGCAAGAATGAGAATGAGGAGAACCAGAGAGAAAGAAAGTTTCAGTATGTTTGTGAGCTTTTAGTTTGTCATACTTTCATACAATATTGCATTGAAGTGTGTACATTTTCTCCATGACATAACATACTCTGATTAGGAAACATCTCAGAGTTAACTATACCCTAGGAAGAGCTTATGTGGTAGTTCTATGGCTGCATGTATTTCCATGTACACCACAGAAAACAACTGGAAGTGTGGTATTTCACGATCTCGGTATGATCCGAAGTCAAGATACCAGACAGGTGCTAATAAAACTTATGCAACTCTGTGTTCTGTCTGGGTAAAGTATTTCGTTTTGTGCGGGTGTGACACATCCTTTATTTTGCCTAGTTTTGAACCTTGTGTCATTTGTATTCTGTAGCTGAGCACCTCACCCATCAATACCTACAGTTTCTTCATTGCAAGGTATCTTGCTTTTGCTCAGACAGAAGCTTAAGCGTTGGCAGCTGTTACATATTTCACACAAAGTAATGAAAGTGCTTTGTGACATATCTGCTGTGTGGTGCCAAAGTGATTAAGGTGAGCCTACACCCTCCCTCTGCCACATCACACACAGCTTTAATTCTTGGGCAATATGCGGTATGCCTTGTTCATAAACAAGCTGTATCTACAAAGGTGGATTTTACCGTACTTAATTGAGTTTCCATTAAATAGAGTTGGTAAGATTTGTAAATAATTATACAGATGCCTTGGAAGGTCTCTTCTGTCTGTTGTGGGTAGGATTTGGTTAGATAGGAGGATTAGAGGAAGCAGGAGATAGGAAGGTGATGTCTAGAAATTCTGTCTCTGACTGGGCAATAGGTTCTGAAAGTAGTATTTGAAATGTTACCAGAATTCCTCTGTGGTACCAAGTAGAAGGATGTGGTTTACCTAATACCTGAAGTACTCACTTTTCTCAGGGTTCAGCCAGTTGTGAATAGCATTGTTAGACTTGGCAAATGATACAGTGAGGCTTTAAGCAGTCCTGCGGCACTTCATCGTAATTTAAATCCAGGATATAGTGGGAGTGCTAGAGCTTTTCTGCTGCTGTATGAACAAAAATTTGGAGAATTGGCTTTGTAAACAGTTCCACAAAAAGGTGAAGCCACCCTGGAACTTAGGAGCAGAGCAGAGTTCTGTGTTTCTGTTGCCACTTCTTCCAGAACATGAATAGGATACTCTTAACAGAGGCAACTTGTAGCTGGAAGATGAGACCCTGGTTTAGCTGTAACCCTGCCTGTAGCAGAGCTGGGCTTGGACACAGGAACCTAGCTGCAGCCCTGATGCAAGGAGTCAGATGATGCTGTTGAGCTGACAGGGGCTGCCAGTGCGGTTCATCTTACCTGTTTTCCCCTAAAATAGGCTCTGGGGAAGTAGCCATTTTCAAGAGTATCAGCAGTATGATGGTGATGTCTGGAGCAGCTGCTCCTCAAGGAGGGGCTTATGGATGGGGCTGGCCCAGCCTAACAGCTCTGGTACCTCCAGGGAGGTAGTCAAGAAGAGGGAGTCACAGCGACAAGGAGCCTCAACTGGACCAAGCAAAAGAGGTCCATCTGGCACACAAGCAAAAGGCTTTTCCCCAGGGCCAGCCTACCCAGGGAGGTTGTGCTGACTCCATCTGGGGGTTTCCAGTCTGGAGGGAACACAGCCCTGAGGAGCCCTGTTTGACCTCAGCGCTGAGCCTGCTGCAGCACAGCCAGAACAGGGACCTCCTGATCTCCCATCCACCCTGAGTTGTCTGTAACCCTATCTTTCCAAGCTCAAAGCTGAGCTCTGAAAAGTTGCTGCAAAGTCCTTGTTACCATCTGTGCATGAAAAATGTAACAGGGAAGAGAGACCCTTATTTCCCAAACTGAAAGAAAGCCAGTGACTACCTTTAATAAGAAATAACAAATAGATGCTTACAACAGCAGAGTGGTTTGCAGTCCCTGTCTTCAATACTTGCCAATATAATCTGTCTAAAATACGGTTACATTCAGTGTTGTAAAATAATTTGTAAGGAAGTGTGCTACATGTGCTCTGTTTCAGGCTTCAAGTCTAATTTGGTTTGCTGCTGCTTTTGTTCACCTAAGGAAAGCTCTCTCCAAAGAACAATTTAGTTCCATAAATACGCAGGGATTTGTGTAAATGTGTTTTGCTAAAGCATTAACATGGCATCTATGTTCTGTGTTCAGAAATGAAATGCTGGTGCTGTTACTTTCTTGGACATAGATATCATGTGCAGTAGTGTGATTTTGATGTTTTAAAGTAAGGTCGCTCAGTGGGAATGGAGTTATTCTAATATGTCTTGCTTGTTTTTGTTGTTGGGAAGCTCAGATATTAGGAATTCTGTAGTACCCTTATGTTTTCTCTGAATGCCTTCTCAGAAGAGCTGGAGTGCAGTGAAACCTCATGGTAATGAAGTCTCCAGAGAAGACAGCCACTCACCAGTCTGTTATTAAGACTGTGGGTTGCTTCTGTTTAACAAAAAAATGGAAAAGAAAAAAAGTGAAATGAAAGCACTCGCTTGTACAGCCTCACTTAAACAAACATCAGGCAAAAAGCTGCCCTCCCTGTTGTCAAAGCTGTTTCATAAGCAGTGATTGAATGTGTGTTCCCTGAGTAGTATAAAAGAGTTTGCATTAAGAAGCCAGTGGTGCTTTCAACCACCTCCTCGCTCTTCCCATCATTACTCAGAACCTGTCATTGAAAGTGCATGCTGTTTACCTCTGAGA